TTTTTTCGTTCTGCTAATCATAGTTGACAGAAAAAGCTGACATACAACCTTACCTATATTGAAATGACTCCCAACTATTGCAGCCTCCACGTTTTCCGGGTTCTTCTCCGACGGATCAACCCAGTTAGACTCATTTAGGAGAAGAATTCCCTGAGCGGATATGAAACGAACCTGATGGCAAAAGATTGAGCATAAAAATTACCTCAAAGCTGTCGGTAACATCAAAATCAATAGCTACAGTATAAGGTATGAAAGTGACGAGATCGGATGTTGTGTCACCCAGAAACTCGTTTAAAAGATCCTAAACGTTATTGTAAGGGAAGTGAACTGCAAAAATTTAGTTTGGCTAGCTGCATACAGTTACAAATCGCTGATGATCCCACACAAGCCAGCAACAACATTTTGTCAGGCTAAACTTAAAGTCCCATTTTTGTTTAGCGTTAAAAACCTGAAAAGTAATAGTGAAACGGTCTCCGAATATTCGAGTATTCCTAAACATACACGAGGATAGTGAAATTCAGCATCAACGCTGAACGTTTCAGCTTCTAAGAGCTTTCGATATGGTAACGAGGAAGTGCTCTCTAGTCGTAATAAGGATGTATGCAGACTCCAGCTAAACCCATCTTCCTTTGTTATCCACCATATCGACATCTGAAAACGAATTGGGAGAAAGTGGGCATTAAGTCCCAAGTTTGTTAGCTTAGATGTTTGTGTTTAGTTGAATCTACATTTTTTAACAGAGCCTACATGCGTTCAATCCATCTAAAGGGGTTGCAGGTTGGAAAAAAAAGGTCTGGATTTAAGATGATTTGATACGGTAGACCTGTAAGGCAAAAATAAGAGTAAACTATTTTTCCGCAACGAAACGCTTCGCATAAAGCCCGATACGGAGCTCGAACCCACGACAGCCGATCGAGGGCCTGATGCTCCACCGATGAGCCGGGCTATAAACGCCTCTGTGTGTTGTTTAGAATCAGATACTGTATGCACAATCAGCAACTTTTAGCAAACAAGTCCAGTAACCTAAGAAAACAGACAGACTAAAGCCAAAAGTTCACCTTGCTTCGCTCTCAGTAGAACTAATCAAGATGAAAACAGATTTTCAACGACAAAAATCAAAATTGCCGAAGGAGTTTGAGATGGAAGGGGAACAATCTCTATTTCTTATACTGTCATGGAGGAAATAGCTCTTTGTTCAGAGTTATGGAAAAGTGCTCAAATATCTTATATACATCTTTCAGAGAACGAACTATATTGAAGATGACGAGAAGAGCACAGCATACCAGTGAGACCAATATGCTACAAAAAAGACAAAATAGTATGGACAAAAATCCTTCGAATTCAAGAACGAGCAAAAACGAAAGGTTTCAGACATCAAGCAAAGGATCTTTACATGAAGTGATCTAGATATGGAAGCGATAGAACAGCAAATAAGGGTTCCGAAAAACATGAACCTACGTCGATCGTGCTTCCTGGTTGACACCGACTGTGAACGCTTTCTAGTTGATCACCGCGCATGAACCAAATATCAACCGCTGTCTCCTTCAGCAACGAAATTCTAACATCATGCATGATATGAATCCTTCTTTTTCCACGTATTGGCAGTTCATCTGGCATGACTGTCTGAAAAGTTATTATTTTTTTCAGAACTCATTATTAGCGTGGTAAGGGTTTTACCTGATAATCTGAAGGAAAGAAGAAGTTGTATAGTAGTGCTCTGTGATGCTCAGCCCATGGTCCATAGGAGATTACAGTGTTATGATCAAAGCGCCAAATCGACTCCCAAACCGGACGCTGGCTGGTTATGGACTGCTGATCCACAGTAACATAGCCTACAAAAGAAATTCGCACATATCTTTGTGTACATACATGAAAGATCGGAGACAAACAGGTACCGAGTATATCCTGGTGATAGAAAAAGTGAAGTAATGCGCTTTGGAGTACGGCAAATCCATCACCCATGGTTCGTGGTGGATCCTATAATACTTACAGGACTAATGATAAGGATAACGATGTATTTAGCGAAACCTTATAAGGAGTGCCCTCGTAGTCCGGATGTTTGAGGAAATCAGCGCGCACGCTCTCAGCTTGACCCTCCACCGACAGCAGAGCACGATCGGCGACAGACTCGCGCAGACGTACTTTACCTACAATAATAATTTTGCTACTGTGAAAGAACGAAACAAGAAAAAAAAGTTACTATTCATATTCTCTAGTGAAACAACAAGCATGTACGGTAGCATTCGATTTCCAACAACAATCCTACCGGACCATATATCTAGCTTAATTACACCAACTAGTGACCATATGCGGTCCCAGTATGCGGATGGAGCAGCACTAAAGCAAGATACCAAGTTTAAAAAACAGATAAAAGTGTTTTATTCTCGCACAATGAGCCATTGAAAGGAAAGCGATGGAAAGATTTTTTTCAATAAAAAAGAGGTGAAGTTAACTGCTCCAACAAAAATTTTTCCACTTGAAAACAACCTGTCTGTGGGCAGTTGTTTCTTTACTTCCGCATCATCTCCAAAAATCTGTTCCATTCGGAAAAGCTTAGCTATCTCCTTATACCGTTGTACGCGATTGTACACATGTATTTGCAAGCCGTTTAACGATAAATGCAGTCGAGACGCATTGCTGCAAGATTGAGTTTTTAGCAAAAGAACTATGAAACAAAAGCATCATCACCTTTTAAAGCAAACTTTACGTCCTGGCACATATCTCCAATATGAAAAAATTATCCAAGCGTCATTGATACGGATAGAGTAGTCATCATTGGCAAAAAGAAACTATAAGTGATGATGAGTTATAATCATAACAATTAAATCATTGAACTCACATCTTTAAACATTAGCTTCCCTCCTAGCAGACTTAAAGACAAACTCCCCAATTTAATATGGCCTGGGGTTTTTGTGAAACGAAGATATCTAAAAAATATGAGTGATACACTGTTTGATCGCTTGATAACTCGTTTATTTCAACAATTTTTCTGCGCTTTAGAAACCTATACTAAACTTGGATTCCTAATTATCAACTATATTTCTAATTAACACTGAAGCATGTTCCCTTTTGGTAGGACTGCGGTATACATTTAGATGTGGATTCATCGCTGGCATAAAGCACTGTTAGCATTGATAGTTACGATAACTGGGGAATTGTATGAGGGAATTATTTAGCATGCAGAATCCAATTCTAACCAGCATTTGATGCTGTACTGATCCTGCGATAGATGCTCAGAGACAGTATGAAGCCAATTACGAATTTACAGTACTAGTACTAGTAATACTGTAGTCGTCAAAGGGGCAATATTTGCTCATAAAGAAGAAATGCTTAAGCTCCAATTGGAATTTTGAAAATTTTAGGAGAGATATGGAAACAAAAGAATTACTAAAGAACAAACAGCGACCATTTTTTGGGAGACTCTATAACAGGAATTTACACATTCACACCTAGACCAGTATATGTCCTACGGCAAGCTTTATATGAAAGCTCATGCACGCTAATGATTTCAAAATCGCAAATACCTACAATCAATTTACAATGACGATCTATCGTAAAGCAGAAGATACATGAGTGGCCGCGATCGGTAAAAACCCGCCTTTAATCACTAAGCCTTCTAGCAGCAAGGTAAGCTGTTTCAACGTATCAATTTCTTTTTTAATCTATCGGAGATTTCAAGTGAATTTACTG